ATGGTATCTCTTGAAATGGTTGAACATTAACCATTTCCTTTTGGTACAATGACTCTGTGTATTCCTTCCATCTTTTCTTGATGCATTCTGCATCATTCCATAATTTGCCCAGTGAATCTTTCAATAATGAAAGTCGAGGCTTGAATTTTTTCTTCAGTTCCCCCAGCTTGAGAAATACTGACCGTGTTCTATTATTAGGTGTTACCAAGTTGGTTCTGACTCATAGCGATACTGTGTACAACAGAGAAATACTGCCCGGTCCTACAATCTCACAATCATTGCTATGCTTGAGTCACTGTGTCCATCCATCTCATTGGTGGTCTCCTTCTTTTTCTTGTAGACCCTCCACTTTACCAATCATGATGTTCTTCTCCAGCGACTGGTCCCTCCTGATAACATATCTAAAGTATGTGGGATAAAGTCTTCCCATCCTCACTTCTAAGGAACATTCTGGCTGTATTTTTTTCCAAGACAGATTTGTTTGTTTTTCTGGCAGTCCGTGGTACACTTAGTATTTTTCAGCACACTATAATTCAAAAGCATCCATTCCTCAGTCTTTGTCATTCACTGTCCAGCTTTTATATGCACATGAAACACTTGAAAATACCATGACTTGGGTCCGGTGCACCTTGGTCCACAAGAGACGTCTTTGCTTTTCAATACTTTAAAGAGATCTTTTGCAGAAAATTTGTCCAAAATAATATGTTGTTTAAGGAGCTCTGGTAGTGTACTGGTTACGAATCGGGCTGTGAACTGCAAGGTCAGCAGTTCAAAACTACCAGCGGTTCCACGGGAGAAAGATGAGGCTTTCTGCTCCCATAAGAATTTACAGCCTCAGAAACCCTGTGCAGGATCACTATGAGTTAGAACCAACTCCACTGCACTTAACAACAAAATATGTTGTTTCTTAACTGATGCTTCTGTGAGCATTGATTGTGGATCCAAGCAAAATGAAATCCTTGACAAGGTTAATCTTTTCTCTGTTTATCATGATGCTGATTATTGGTCCAGCTGTGAAGTTTTTTTTTTTTTTTTTTTATGGTGTTGTTGTTAAGTGCTGCTAAGTCAGTTCTTACTCATAGTGACCCTGTATACGGTTTCCAAGAAGTGTCTGGTGAGTTTGAACCACTGGCCTGTGGTTCAAACTGAACTTGTGGCCCAGTGCTTCATCCATACTGAAGACTATAGTCTTTGATGTTCAAGCAAGACTGTGTCATTTAAATATCTCAGGTTGTTTGTAAGGTTGTGCCATCTACATATCTCAGGTAGTTAATGAGTCTTCCACTAATCTTGTTGCCATGTTCTTCAAGTAGTCCAGCTTCTCAGGTTATTTGCTTAGCATACAGATTGCACAAGTATGGGGAAAGGATACACATCTTTTCTGATTTAAACATACACTATATTCTTGTTCAGCTTGAATGGCTGCCTCCTGGTCTATGTACAATTGAGCATAATGAAATGTTCTGGAATTCTGATTTTTCACAATGTTATCCATAACTTGTTATGATACACACAGTTGAATGCCTTTGTGTAATCAATAAAACACAGGTAAACCTCTTTCTGGAGTCCTGGTATGGTGCTGTAGGACACTAATGGCAATATTCATGGTTCAAACCCACCAGCTGCTCCCTGAAAACCCTATGCAGGGTCACCATGAGTTGGAACAGACTCAATGGCACTTAACAATATCAATTAATCTCTTTCTGTTATTCTTTGCCTTCAGCAAGACTCATCTGTTAACAGCAACGATATCCTTCATTCTTTGTCCTCTTCTGAATCCAGCTTGAAATTTTGGCAGTTCCCTGTCAATGTATTACTGCAACCATTTTTAAATTGTTTTTAGACAAATTTTACTTTTGTGTGATATTAATGATATTATTTGATAATTTCTGCATTCTGTTGGATCACCTTTCTTTGGAATATGTACAAATATGACTCTCTTCCAAATTTCTTGGCATAAATGAATGCTTACTCGTTGGATCTGTTTGTTGAAACATCTAAATCAGTATTCTGTCAATTCCTGAAGCATTGTTTTTCACAAGTTTACAGTGCAGTTTAGACTTCTTCCTTCAATACCATTGATTTTTGATCATATGCTACCTTTCAAAATGGTTGCGTGTTGACTAATTCTTTATGGTACAATGACTTTGTGTACTCTTTCCATCTTACCTTGATGTTTCTTTTGTTGTTCAATATTTTACCCATTGTTCGGTGCTATCAAGTTGGTTCTGACTCATAGCAACCCTAAGCACCACAGAAACAAACAGTGCCCGGTCCTGTGCCATCCTCACAATTGTTGTTACACTTGAGTCCATTGCTGTTGCCACTGTGCCAACCCATCTCATTGGGGATCTTCCTCTTTTTCACTGGCCCTTCACTTTACCAAGTATGATGTCCTTTTGCAGGGAATGGTCCTGATGATGATGAAAAAATATATATATATATTTATTTATTATAATCCTGCTTATTGTATTTGGCTAATCTTTCTTTTTTTCTTTATTTCCTGAAGTAAAGACTTTATGATCTCTCTCTTTTTCTTTGACTACTTCCTGAAGTGAGCAAAGATTTATGATCTCTCTCTTTTTCTTTGGCT